AAAAAAAAAAAAAAAGATAGAATCATTGGAAATGTATGCTTATAAAAAGGTTTAATTGTAAAGCCCCAGATAAGACTTGTGGAGCTCTATAGACTACCTTGCTGTGCCCAAATTAGCATAAACATCTGATTCTGCCTCAGGGTCAGTAGTTGTGTCATATTCCTTTTAGACTGAGCTTACAGTATTGTCAGTTACAATGTATTTTTGGAAAAGAGCCTGCTTTGAGAGTTCTTAAATTAGTCATAGCAAGTCTGTCTGCTTTAAAATTGACTTTTTTTAAACGCAGTACATGTTGACAGCCGAGAAACTAGAAGAAAAGTAGATTTCTAATTAGAGAAAGGAGGCTGTTAATTAATGTGCCTGGTTTTCCCACTCAGGATTCTATAAATACAATATCTCTCTCTATGATTCCTCACACAACAGATGGTTCTATTTGTGCAAACTCCATAGTGGTTATGTTGGTCAAGCAAAAAGACTGCTTTTGTGTTGTCTTGTTTAGTCGTTTTTCTACCAGATAGATGGATCCTCGGTCTTAGCCCTAGTTACTTAGGGTTATCCCAAATAAAATGTATTAAATTTATTAAAATGTTTAAATATATGTTTTCTGCCTGACCTGCCCTAGATTGTATTTCTTAATACTTACATTTATTCCAGCCCTGCCACTACATTCCCCTGATTTATTACATTTCCTATCCCAGTAACACCTAGTTAGTCATTTCTTCTCAAGGCAACTTCCATCATTACCCAAAGTTAGTATTCCCATTTTTCCTAAATAAATATTTCTTCTCTTCTGACTGACTGAACAAGTACAGCGCATCCAGTTGCCTGTTAATGTCTTTCAGGCAGTGTCTTATAGCAATGACATAAAGAAAAGACAACCTCTAAGTCAAAAGGAGCTCCAACTCCAGGGGTAGGGGGGTGGGCAAGTGTGAAGCAAACTGCCACATAACTGGGAGTAGAAATTAGGGATTTCTAGGTTCTGGCCGTTGGATGTTCCTAAATTTAAAGCTTGGTCCTCCCGAAAAAATGTCTTATTCCTTCTGGGCCTCACTATCACTATAGGAATAGATGTGATTTATCATATCTATAAAAATAAGAGAGACTTACACTTTTCACTTCTCATCTGTGATGATTAGAATAAAAGGAAAAGGCAGTTGAACAAAGTGTCTTTTGAACTCTTGTTAAATGACCCTATGTTTATTATATTTGTGTGGACTGAAGTCTTAGAGGAAAAGACATCTTTGAAAATGAAATGCTGGCTAGTTGTGTATTGAATCTGGTGGTATTTACAAATGCCACTACCTGTCAAGGCCCTAAAATTTACCAAATATAACCAGTGAAATGATAGTTAGAAATACCTTTACACCAAGATCATTATTCTGGAAAAGAAGCTTCATCCCCAGTAATAAGACTTATAATCAGAGGGTATTTAAGGTCCAGAGAAAACTCTAGAGTCACTTAGAGTGGTTGTGCAGCAGTTCTCAACCTGTGGATGGAGACCCCTCTGTAACAATGAAAATACATCCTGCATACCAGATATTTACATTACAATTCATAACAGTAGCAAAATTACAGTTATGAAGTAGCAACAAAAATAAATTTATGGTTGGGGGTCACCACAACATGAGGAACTATATTAAAGGGTTGGGGCATTAGGAGGCATTAAGAAGGTTGAGAACCACTGCTTTAGACTATCATGGCAACATTGTTACAGCCCTAGGTGTAATCTCCACACTACGCATTGTTTTCCCAAAGAGGACATGACAAGACATGAGTATTGCAGTTATGTGCTTAGGGCTTAGCAGCTCTCTACTATATTTATTTATTTATTTATTTATTTGAGACAGAGTCTCACTTTATCGCCCTTGGTAAAGTGCTGTGGTGTCATGGCTCACAGCAACCTCCAGCTCTTGGACTTAGGTGATTCTTTTGCCTCAGCCTCCCGAGTACCACAATACCCAGCTATTTTTTTGTTGCAGTTTGGCTGAGGCCAGGTTTAAACCCGCCACCCTTGGTATATGAGGCTGGCGTCCTACTCACTGAGCCACAGGCGCTGCCACCCTCTCTACTATATTTAATGACTTGCCACAAACACAGCTCAGGAAATAACTGAATATAATTTTCATTTTTGGTCTCTATACTCAGTCTACTTTCCTCCTCCCTAATATTTTAACCTAAAATATTTTTATTGGTACTTGTTAAATAATTGATACGAGCCAGGCACAGTGGCTCATGCCTGTAGTCCTAGCACTCTGGAAGCCTGAGGGAGGATCCCTTGAGTTTAGGGGTTCAAGGCCAGCCTCAGCAAAAGCAAGACCTTGTCTCTACTAAAAATAGAAAACTTAGCTAGTCATGCCTAAAGTCCCAGCTACTCAGGAAGCTGAGGCAGGAGAAT